TTCAGCCTGCTGTCCAGGATGCTGACCAGTCTTAACATGTCCAGACTATAATCGGTGCCATGAACACAACGTCCACCTCCAGCCCTCCGGCGCTCAGAGGCAGCAGACAGCGACTCAGAAGGTGGTACAGGAGCTCCGTCTTACCTGCAGGGGGGAGGAAACTCTCATCAAATCAAGTGCATTCATTTCTGTTAGAAAAATCTCACTCGTCACTCATTCTGACGTTTTCTCAAAATTCAGACTTTTTCTCAATTCAAAAGCTTTATTAGCATGACCATATTTACATACAGTATTGCCCAAGCAAGAAGTTGTAACATCATACAAAAATACATACAAATAAACAATGAACAGTTATAAACAACTGCTAAGAACATGTTTGTTTTTTTGTTGTTTTTTTCTTCATTTCTCAACATTTTGAAATGTTGGCTTTTTCTCAAAATGTTGTTTTTTTCTGAAAATCTCAAACTGTTGACTTTTCTAAAATGTGACGACTTTTTCTCAAATAATGTTTTTTTTTTTAAATCTCAAATGAGACTTTTTCTCAAAATTCAGACTTTGCTCAACATTTAGAAATGTTGGCTTTTTTCTCAAAATCTCAAAATGTTGACTTTTTCTAAAAAGGTCAAAATATTGTTTTTGACTTTTCGAAATGTTGGCTTTTTTGAAAATCTCAAAATTCTGACATTTTCTCAAAATGTTGACTTTTTTCTTTTTTTAATTACTTTTTCTATATATATTGTTTTTTTCTGAAAATCTCAAAATGTTGACTTTTCTAAAATGGTTAAAATATAGTTTTTTTCCCTCAAAATCTAACATTTTTGACTTTTTCTCAAAATTTGACAACTTTTTCTCAAAATTCAGACTTTTTCTCCAAATCTCCAAATTGAGACTTATTGCCATGTTCACAGCTACAGTTGGGAAAGCTTTGTTATCACGTTACTCTGATATTAGAAGAGGACGTTCAGGATTTCCCAACAGAACCCTCGGTTTATACTCTCTATATATTCTATTGAACCCGGATGACGCCAGCTCACACTTCCTGTTTCTTTTGTGGAGATATAATGGCGCTTTTCCACTGCAGCACGCAGCACCGCTTTTGTTGCTTTGACACTTGGGCGAGTTCCGGCTCAGGGCGACTTTTCCACCTTTTTTCTGGCCCTCCAACAACGGGCTGAATACGCTAAACTATACTAGTGACGTAAACACTCAACTGCTGATTGGTCCGAGAGAATCGCTGGCAAGGGGGCTACAACTACAACAAGATGAACATATTTGACCGTGATTTAATTGTAATACACGTTTCAAAATGATGCCGAAGTAACAACATACTGATACCGGTTAGTACAAACCATGAATTAATGCTTTGACAAGTCTGCAGACAGACGGCAGAGAAACACCTTTTAAAATGCGTGTTTTCTAAATGGAGACCGGCTAAGCTAACGTTATATATGCTCCGACCGTCCACACTCACAACAACGGCCTACAGACATAAATAAAGCAGCGACTGTATTCTCCATGACACAGGCAGTCTGTGGTTTGTACTTGTTTCACTTCTGTCTAGTTTCTGAACAGATATGAGGAGCTGTGAGCTCTGAGTGCTAACAGCTAACGGCTGTGTTGGCTTTGTGGTTCGCATTGAAGATGACGTCACGGCAGTTTTATGCAGTGTCGCTCCGCCCGCCGATCGCTCCGCCTACACTGCGTTACCATAGTTACTGCCCCAGCTACTAAACTGTAATGGAGTGGAGACACAGCATAAAGTGAGCCTGGCCTACCAAGGCCTAACCATACCGTACTAGCCGTGCGAGGCCCTGCAGGGACGCCATAAGAGTCAAAGGTTTCTCTCTCACTCAATAAGTCAGACCTGCCATCAATCAGAGTGTGTGCGTGTGAGCCTGTTAGAGTGTGACCTCACCTGTCCCCTCTGGTCCGTACAGCTCCACCACCTCACCTGTCAATCACAGTCAATCATCAATCATCCGCCTCCAGTTTATCATTTGAGTTTTGGTTAATTGTCATGTGACGTCTCTGTGGAGGAAACTCTTCAGAGACACTGAGAGAGGATTCATGGACAACGTGTGTCTTTTGTTCGATTTAATAAAGAAAGTCAGTATAAAGTGAGATGGATCTGAAGTTCAGGAGCAGAGCAGCTTCCTCCTCAGAGGAGAGAGAAGCTCTGCTTTCAGTCTCTGTGTGTTCATGAGAGGAACAGCTGCTCCTCCTTCCCATCATCAACCTCCTGACAGGTAAACCCTTAATGTCTCTGTCACTCACAAGACTAGCAATTCACTTTGACAGAGAACAATCAGAGGATAAGTATTATGTGTTTATTTCAACAAGGACCATGCATACAAATACATGACTCTCAGAGAAGAGATGAATGATGCCAGGTCATAGCTCATTTCCTGAGGCTCAGACTGTATGTGTTAAATGATTATATGATCAACAGGAAGTGGTTTTTCTCACCGGGTTCAGGTCCTCCGTCTCCAGGAAACAGTTTGTTCTCGATGTCCTTCAGACAGCGACGAGCCTCCAGACGGGCGAACAGCTGCAGACACATCCCACACTGATTATATACTACCTGCTCCTTCTCTACCTGCTCCTTCCCTACCTGCTCCTTCTCTACCTGCTCCTTCTCTACCTGCTTCTTCTCTATTTTCAATGTGAATTATTGAATATATACAATCTGTGTTTTCAGAATCAGAATCCCTCTATTTGTCCCATAGAGAGACATTTACAGTGTTAGAGCAAAAGTGAAGAGCCACATATGAATGAAGAAGCCAACAGACCTTAGTGTAGCATGCAGCTAACCAACAGACCTTAGTGTAGCATGTAGCTAACCAACAGACCTTAGTGTAGCATGTAGCTAACCAACAGACCTTAGTGTAGCATGTAGCTAACCAACAGACCTTAGTGTAGCATGTAGCTAACCAGCAGACCTTAGTGTAGCATGTAGCTAACCCTAACCAACAGACCTTAGTGTAGCATGTAGCTAACCAACAGACCTTAGTGTAGCATGTAGCTAACCCTAACCAACAGACCTTAGTGTAGCATGTAGCTAACCCTAACCAACAGACCTTAGTGTAGCATGTAGCTAACCAACAGACCTTAGTGTAGCATGTAGCTAACCAGCAGACCTTAGTGTAGCATGTAGCTAACCAACAGACCTTAGTGTAGCATGTAGCTAACCAACAGACCTTAGTGTAGCATGTAGCTAACCAACAGACCTTAGTGTAGCATGTAGCTAACCAGCAGACCTTAGTGTAGCATGTAGCTAACCCTAACCAACAGACCTTAGTGTAGCATGTAGCTAACCCTAACCAACAGACCTTAGTGTAGCATGTAGCTAACCAACAGACCTTAGTGTAGCATGTAGCTAACCAGCAGACCTTAGTGTAGCATGCAGCTAACCAGCAGACCTTAGTGTAGCATGTAGCTAACCAACAGACCTTAGTGTAGCATGTAGCTAACCAACAGACCTTAGTGTAGCATGTAGCTAACCAACAGACCTTAGTGTAGCATGTAGCTGACCAACAGACCTTAGTGTAGCATGTAGCTAATCAGCAGACCTTAGTGTAGCATGTAGCTAACCAGCAGACCTTGGTGTAGCATGTAGCTAACCAACAGACCTTAGTGTAGCATGTAGCTAACCAACAGACCTTAGTGTAGCATGTAGCTAACCAGCAGACCTTAGTGTAGCATGTAGCTAACCCTAACAAAGACCTTAGTGTAGCATGTAGCTAACCCAACAGACCTTAGTGTAGCATGTAGCTAACCCTAACCAACAGACCCTTAGTGTAGCATGTAGCTAACCCTAACCAAACAGACCTTAGTGTAGCATGTAGCTAACCAACAACCTTTAGTGTAGCATGATAGCTAACCAGCAGACCTTAGTGTAGCATGTAGCTAACAACAGACTTAGTGTAGCATGTAGCTAACCAACAGACCTTAGTGTAGCATGTAGCTAACCAACAGACCTTAGTGTAGCATGTAGCTAACCAGCAGACCTTAGTGTAGCATGTAGCTAAACCTCTAACCCAACAGACCTTAGTGTAGCATGTAGCTACCCTAACCAACAGACCCTTAGTGTAGCATGGAGCTAACCAACAGACCTTAGTGTAGCATGTAGCTAACCAAGCAGACCTTAGTGTAGCATGCAGCTAACCAGCAGACCTTAGTTAGCATGTAGCTAACCAACAGGACCTTAGTGTAGCATGTAGCTAACCAACAGACCTTAGTGTAGCATGTAGCTAACCAACAGACCTTAGTGTAGCATGTAGCTGACCAACAGACCTTAGTGTAGCATGTAGCTAATCAGCAGACCTTAGTGTAGCATGTAGCTAACCAGCAGACCTTGGTGTAGCATGTAGCTAACCAGCAGACCTTAGTTGTAGCATGTAGCTAACCAACAGACCCTTAGTGTAGCATGTAGCCTAACCAACAGACCTTAGTGTAGCATGTAGCTAACCAAGCAGACCTTAGTGTAGCATGTAGCTAACCAACAGACCTTAGTGTAGCATGTAGCTAACCAACAGACCTTAGTGTAGCATGTAGCTAACCAACAGACCTTAGTGTAGCATGTAGCTAACCAACAGACCTTAGTGTAGCATGTAGCTAACCAACAGACCTTAGTGTAGCATGTAGCTAACCAGCAGACCTTAGTGTAGCATGTAGCTAACCAACAGACCTTAGTGTAGCATGTAGCTAACCAACAGACCTTAGTGTAGCATGTAGCTAACCAACAGACCTTAGTGTAGCATGTAGCTAACCAACAGACCTTAGTGTAGCATGTAGCTAACCAACAGACCTTAGTGTAGCATGTAGCTAACCCTAACCAACAGACCTTAGTGTAGCATGTAGCTAACCCTAACCAACAGACCTTAGTGTAGCATGTAGCTAACCCTAACCCTGGATACAGACAGTCAGAACCAGAAAGCAGATCATTCTGATCATCATGGATTCATCCAGAGATTCTTCTTTAAAGGGTTTTAAAACGATGGTAAATATGTTGTTATTTACTTTTCTATTTGCTTTAATGTTGTGCCTTTCTTGGTCAGATCTGACCGGGACAAAGATGCTTTAATAAAGTCTGGATTGTATAAATGTAAGGATTAGCATGATGTGCATTATCAAACTAAAGCACTTTAACTGTATTTCACTTTAACAGATACACGTGTACTTCCTGCAAAGTGAAGTCATCGCGTAACGCTGCCGCTAAAACGCAGATATGTTACTTAATATGCGTTTATTAATCACATGTTGTTGTTAGAAACACGTGTTGTTTTTACCTGAGCTCCACTTTCAGTCATTTCAGCTGCATGATCAAAACAAAGCACTTCCGGGTTCCGTTTAGCGTAACGGACCAATGGGAAGAGCTACAGGAGTGAGAGGAGCGCGCTGACATGTAGGCCCAATCCCAAACCACGCCCTACACCCTACCCCTACACACTCCCCTCCGTGGAGTCTCAGCTCAACCAGGCTCCCTCCTGTCAGATGGAGGGAGCAGGGGCGGCGCCTGGGGGTTGCTATAGCAACTCCAAAAATTGGCCTAGCAACGGCTTAGCAACCCCATTGTTCTGTTATGAAAATGTATCTATATTTATACACATTCTCGCGAGATCTATCAGGGGTCGTTGTACGTTAAAGCGCGAACTGTTACTTGGCTAATGTTGTTCTAATTCTCAGTGTGTGAACCATGATGTGAACACAGATCGAAAATGGAAAGATTTCTCACAAGTCAGCGTAAACGACCGCGATCTCCAACGGAGCCGGTCCAGCCGGACAACCCTGCTATCCACAAGGATCCCGATGTCCACTATGAAAACCGGGAGGATTGGGACCACGAAGAACAGGTGCCCCCGCCAACTGACCCGCTGCACCCGCAGCAGCAGGACCAGCTAGCTGCTACCGCGAGCTGCAGTGGAACGAGCGCTGCTCCCCTCCACACCGTCATTGACATCAGCCAGTCAGCCTGTGATGGACCAAGACGTCCTATGCTGAGAAAATACCCGACCAAGAAGTACGGACTGCAAATGCGGTCATTTAATAGTCGATGGTACGAGCAATATACTTGGCTCGAGTACTCAGTGACTATGGACAGTTTATTTTGTTTTGCCTGCAGGCATTTTGCTCATGAAGGACGCCGGTTCCATAAAGAAACCGCCTTTACCCATGACGGATTTAGCACCTGGGTTAAAGCTAAGCAGTCATTCCTTACACATGATGTGAGTGGAGGACATAAATACGCCATGGATGCATGGTCTGAATTTAAATTAAGGAAAGAGAGTGGCTCAAAAATCAGCACCGCACTCAGCGAGGGACATTCACAAAGTGTGCGTGACAACAGGGAATATATGCGGGCAGCTGTGGAAGCTTTGCGTTACATTGCGTGTCAAACCATTACACAACGAGGGCACAGGGAGGGTGAAGCATCACACAGGGGGAACTTCATCGAACTGTTAGACCTGATTGGCAAGTTTGACAAAACTGTGGCAAAAACAATATCCGATAATCCGAGAAATGCAAAGTACTCACACCACGACATACAAGATGAGCTCATTGAGCTGATGGCAAATATGGCCAGGGATCAAATGAGTGGGGAAGTACAGGAAGCTGGAGCGTTTGCACTGATGGTGGATGAGAGCACAGACGTGAGTCAAAAGGAGCAGGTGTCTGTGGCAGTGCGCTACATACATAACGATGGCATCCAGGAGGAGTTCCTTCACTTCACCCCAGCTGATGGACTGGACGCCGATTCTCTTTTTACTACGATCAAACAGACGCTCAGTAAATGCAACATTGATCACAACATGTGCATTGGCCAATGCTACGACGGTGCCGCTGTGATGTCGGGGTGCACTGACGGTGTGCAGGAGAGGCTTCGGAAGGAGGTGCCACAGGCCCTTTATGTACATTGCCATGCCCACCGGCTACATTTAGTTTTAGTTGACTGCGTCAAGAATGTAAGACCAGCAGGGGATTTTTTTGAAGTTGTGCAGATGCTGTATCATTTATTTTCTGGCTCTGTCGTGCACAACATTTTCCATAAAAAACAAAAGGAACTTGAACCAACAGAAAAGCCGGTTGAACTAAAAAAGCTGCCAGACACTAGATGGGCTTGTCAGTATTCAGCACTGTGGGCCATTCAGAAAACACTGCCAGCAATCTATGCCACGCTCGATGAGGTCATCACGCAGTCACGCGCTCGCAGGAAGACAGAAGCTCGAGCTGTGAAGGCACTGATCGACGCTCACTTTGCTGTGCAACTCACTCTATTTGAGGATATGTTTCGGGCCACCAAATTATTGTCCGACTATATACAGTCCCCAGATCTGCAACTGGCATCTGCTACGGATCTCGTTGAGTCGGTAATTACATCCCTCTCCGAAAAGCGAAACGAAAAATCATGGAATGAAATTTTGGACAAAGCACAAGCCCTCTCCATCAAGACTGGCATCCTCCTCCTCCAGTTGAGACAAGAGCGACGTCAGCCTCAGCCTGCAAGCCACCTACAGGGGTTTGTAGTTGATGCTCCAGCAGCAACACGTCCACCACTCACCTCCTCTGATGACATCCGAAAGCACTGCTACTACCCTGTCATTGATAGACTCGTCAATGAAATGAAAAGGCGGTTTTCGTCTGAATCTTGTGGAGTTCTACAGGGCGCGTCTGCCTTAAACCCAGCACATGAGTCATTCCTTGAGATGGAACACCTGTCACCCATGGCCCAGTATTATGGGGTAAACACGGACAACCTGTCTGCAGAACTGCACCAAGTTCGACGGCTCCTTGACCGAACAAAGCAGCAGCAGGGACACACTGTGAAAACCACGCACGAATTTCTCTCGCTTCTCCGGCCATACAAGGACGCATTTATTGATTTGCACAGACTTGTGTGTATATCGGTCACACTGCCTGTCACGCCTGCAACCTGCGAACGCAGCTTTTCTGGTTTACGGCGTGTCAAAAACTACATGAGGAGCAACAGCGGGGACTTAAGGAATATCAATGTGGCTTTGCTGTCCATCAACGCAGAACGTGCACGAGCCCTTGATGAGCAGGAGATCATAGACGCTTTTGCTTTGAACCACAATAACAGATGCATTGTCCTGCTCTGACAGATGTGACCCATTGGTGAGTGGCTCTGCTGTGTGTGTGTGTGTGTGTGTGTGTGTGTGTGTGTGGTGTGTGTGTGTGTGTGTGTGTGTGTGTGTGTGTTGTGTGTGTGTGTGTGTGTGTGTGTGGTGTGTGTGTGTGTGTGTGTGTGTGTGTGTGGAGTACGAGACGGTAGGAGTTGTGTTCGAGTGTGGGGGAAAGTCATAATGAGTGTTATATATTGATTGGTTCTGTAAGGCGTGGCTGTGGCCATCAATACCAGAAAATAAAGAGAACGTTTTGGACATTGAAGGCTCGTGTGATCTGTGATCTTGAATAGCGGTGAACGCTACAATATGAACAGGCTCGTGCTTGGCCCACTGGTATTGTTTGTTTATTTATTTTGAAAATTAACTAGCAATGCTGTGCTGTCATATAGCAACTGCTAAACTACTGCAGCTAACAAATCCTGGCGCCGCCCATGCTCAGAAGAATTTTAAATTCTATCCTGTGTTCTATAGGGAGCCAGTGTAAGGCAGCCAGAACAGGAGTAATGTGGTCCCTTTTCCTAACTCTGGTTAGTACACGAGCTGCAGCATTTTGAATCAGCTGAAGCCACTTGACTGACTTCTTGGTACACCCTGATAATAAAGAGTTACAATAATCCAGCCTTGAAGTAACAAATGCATGGACTAGTTTCTCTGCATCGTTTTGAGGCAAGATATGCCTGATTTTTGCAATGTTACGTAGATGGAAGTAGGCGGTCCTTGAAATTGATTTTATGTGGGCGTTAAAGGATAAATCCTGATCAAATATAACACCAAGATTCCTTACAGTCTCACTGGAGGCCAAATTAATGCCATCCATAGTTAGTATATCCTTAGATAATTTGTTTCGTAGATTCTTCGGGCCAAGTACAATAACTTCAGTTTTGGTCGTGTTTAACATCAAAAAGTTTAAGGTCATCCACGTTTTTAAGTCCTTGAGGCAGTCTTGAATTTTATTTAGATGATTAATTTCATCAGGCTTGATTGATAAATATAGTTGAGTATCATCCGCATAACAATGAAAATGTACAGAATGATTCCTTATAATATGCCTAACGGAAGCATATATAATGTGAACAAAATAGGTCCGAGCACTGAGCCCTGTGGCACTCCATGGCTAACTTTGGTTTGCGTGGAAGTTTCATCATTGACACGTACAAACTGAGAGCGTTCAGATAGATAGGACCTAAACCAGTCTAAAGCAGTTCCCTGTATGCCAACTAAGTGCTCTAGTCTTTGCAATAAGATATCATGGTCGATAGTATCAAATGCAGCACTGAGATCGAGCAAAACAAGAATAGAGACACGTCCCTTGTCAGAGGCTATTAGAATGTCATTTGTGACTTTAACCAGAGCTGTCTCTGTGCTATGATGTGTTCTAAAGCCAGACTGAACATCTTCAAATAAATCATTGTTTTTTAAGTAATCAGCTGTTTTGCGACCGCTTTCTCAAGAATGTTTGAGAGGAACGGAAGATTAGAAATAGGTCTATAATTGACTAAAACCTCTGGATCGAGGTTGTGCTTTTGAAGAAGCGGTTTTATCACTGCTACTTTGAATGATTGTGGAACATAGCCTGATAATAAAGACATATTCATAATATTTAATAAATAAGTGCTAATTAATGGAAAAACGTCCTTCAACAGCTTAGTTGGAATTGGGTCTAACATACACGTTGATGGTTTAGAAGAGAGAATCATTGAATTTAATTGTTCAAGGTTTATGGCTGAAAAGCATTCTAGTTTACTATCTAGTGCAGGGGTGGCCAACCAGTCAGAGGTTAAGAGCCACATTTTGTCTATGTTACTGCAAAGAGCCACATCAAACACACAGTCACTGATACCGCTTGTTTCAGTTTTTTGTTTTCTGGAGACAAGATTTCAACCACGTCACTGATGCATTTTTGTGGCATTGGGATATATATTTTTTAATTCCTCTGGAGCAGAGAGAGGAGCTGTGGATTATTGTTATTGATTAATGCATCAGTGTTTCTTAGGGTCAAAAACACTAAACTCACAACTTAAAATGAAAGTGTTTAGTTTATTTAATTAAAGAGCACATGTTCAATGTGAAACGTGACAGTAGATATAGATTATTTGCAATTTGGTGCTATATATATATATATATATATATATATATATAAAAAAAAATAATAATATATATTTTTTAAACACCTTGAATTTCAGGGGGGGGCGCGGGGCTCCGTTGGCGGGGCGCAGCGCCCCTCCAAGACAATGGTAGGGGAAACACTGGATAGTGTTTAATCAACGATAGGTTTCCCCCCCTCATAGGTGATTGGTTCACTGCATCGCAGGTATTATTGTGATTGGCTCTTGGGCCACATCAAAATTAGACGCGCTGTCATCCTCTCATACTGACACCACACACGTATAGGGAGAGCCGGGACGAAAGTAACACGGGACGAAAGTAACACGGGACAAAAGTAACGGAGCGATTTTATCCGAGCCCAAACAACTTTGACCGGCCAAATTACGTCAGAATTATCAGCATTCAGTACTTAACAGACTTACTAACTATCAGGTTTAACTGTCAGGAGTAGCTAGTGTTGTCACGATACCAACATTTTGGTTTCGATACCAAGTCAAGAATTGCGATTCCGATTATTTTTCGATACTTTTCTTAAAAAAAGGGAAACAGTCTTAAATGTAATTATTGTGCTTTATTTCACACAAGAACCATAACCATAACACAAACTTTTAAACAATGAGAACAATAAATAAAATAAATGACAAGAATTCATACATTTCTCACAGACAGGACTCGTGGTGTCCGTAGGCTTGCCCTCACTGTCAGAAATATAGCTAAAATACTTCCAAATTTCGCTTCTGGCGTCTTTTTGTCAACAAGCTGAGGCGCAGCGGCAGTTGCACTCCCACTTGCAGCCATGCTTCTTGTTTTCTCACATGCTCTGGCAGCTAGCGCGTGCACGAGAGAGGGGATGGATTTAGCATGTGCACGAGAGGGGAGGGACTGCAGGCACGGCTGCAGTGCAGGGGAGTGGAAGCAGAGCGCTGAACACACACGGCTCTTATTAAAACGGCGCTTTCTCACCGGAGTACTTTTCCCCGTCATTCTTAAAGTACCGATACTAATGAAACGGAGGAATCGTAACGTTTTTAACGGCAGAGTATCGCGGTACCTTTCAAGTATCGGTACACCGTGCGGAGTCAGTGTCTCTCCCCCAAACTCACACACATACAATTCGATATGAACTGAAGAGCCGCATGAAACTAGGCAAAGAGCCGCATGCGGCTCGAGAGCCGCGGGTTGGCCACCCCTGATCTAGTGTAATATTAGAACTTACGTTTCCGGGAGCTGTTGATAACACTATACTGGTCAAAGGCAAGAGGTCATTCATTTTGTTTCTAAGAGTAACAATGTTATCGTTAAAAAAGCACATAAAATCATTACTACTGAGTGCTATGGGAATAGAAGGCTCAATCGAGCTGTGGCTCTCTGTCAGCCTGGCTACAGTGCTGAAAAGAAATGTTGCATTATTCTTATTCTCATCTATTAATGAAGAGTAGTAGGCTGCTCTCGCTTTACGCAGTGCTTTCTTATATTCATTGAGAGTAATATGCCAAATTAAACGAGATTCTTCAAGTTTAGTGGAACGCCATATCCTTTCAAGTTGTCTCGACTTTTGCTTTATTTTGCGGGTTTCGGCATTATGCCATGGAGCTAATCTATGTTGTTTTATTTTCTTCTTTTTCAAAGGAGCAACAGAGTCTAATTTTATTCGCAGCGCATCTGTAGCACTATCAACAACATGATCAATTTGGGGTGGTGTACATTTTGTATACGTTTCCTCCCCTACATGCAGAAAACATAAAATAAATCTCACGTACCCCCTGCAGTACTCCAACGTACCCCTAGGGGTCCGCGTACCCCCATTTGAGAACCACTGCTCTAGATGATATATTATATTGAAATATATGAGTGTGTTTAAATATCTGAAGCTGAAACAGAAACACTTTGTCATTAAAAGTTTATTAAACCTGTTCAACAATAAATACATCTGATACAAAACACTTTCACAACAACATCAGATATACATCTCATCGTTACATGGCCCCGTCGGACCTGACCTGTCAATCAAGTGATCGACCAATCAGAAGAGGCGCTGAAGTCTGACAAAGCACGATAAGAGGGTCACATGACCTGTCTGTCTCTCTGTATCACACGTCTGTCTCACCCGTCTGTCTCTCTTTATCGCCTGTCTCTCTCTCTCTCTCTCCATCGCCTGTCTGTCTCTCACCTGTCTGTCTCTCTCTATCGCCCGTCTCTCTCTCTCTATCGCCTGTCTGTCTCTCATCTGTCTGTCTCTCTCTATCACCTGTCTGTCTCTCTCTATCGCCCGTCTGTCTCTCACCTGTCTGTCTCTCTGTATCACCTGTCTGTCTCTCTCTATCGCCCGTCTGTCTCTCTCTATCGCCCGTCTGTCTCTCACCTGTCTGTCTCTCTGTATCACCTGTCTGTCTCTCTCTATCGCCCGTCTGTCTCTCACCTGTCTGTCTCTCATCTGTCTGTCTCTCATCTGTCTGTCTCTCTTTATCACCTGTCCCTCTTTATCGCCTGTCTGTCTCTCTGTCTGTCTCTCTGTATCACCTGTCTGTCTCTCTTTATCACCCGTCTGTCTCTCTGTCTGTCTCTCTGTATCACCTGTCTGTCTCTCACCAGTCTGTCTCTCACCCGTCTGTCTCTCTGTATCACCCGTCTGTCTCTCTTTATCACCTGTCTGTCTCTCTGTATCACCCGTCTGTCTCTCTGTATCACCTGTCTGTCTCTCACCTGTCTGTCTCTCACCCGTCTGTCTCTCTGTATCACCCGTCTGTCTCTCACCTGTCTGTCTCTCTGTATCACCCCGTCTGTCTCTCACCTGTCTGTCTCTCTTTATCACCTGTCTGTCTCTCTGTCTGTCTCTCTGTATCACCCGTCTGTCTCTCTGTATCACCTGTCTGTCTCTCTGTA